CAATCATATTTAAGCTGGTGAGTCAAGTCTTCGTCACTTGAACTTGAAATGGGCACAACAATTATAAACTGAGAGATTTCTCAAAACGCAAATTTTATTCGCATAACCTTCGACAAAAACTTTGATGTCTGAGAATGGAAATCACGCTTTGTTCTAGTTATTTGGAGCTATCATTACTGTAATTTTTACCCTTACCTACACATGCAGACACATGCTCACACACAAACATACACACGTACATGCGTATATATTGGTGTGTGATATAAAGCAGTCAAATAGAACTATACCTCATAAAACTGCATATCTTTAGATTATATATACAGACTGTAGGGATAGAATGATGTCGTAAAGTCAAGGGGAATTACTGTCGTCTTCTCTACTATACACCCTTATCCTCGAAATGAAAGTGGCCTAAACTAATGTAAATAAAGATATACCTCGGAAACCAACTTCTCTTCCAACCGAAAACTAACCAATCTGGCTAAAACAGAGTCTAAATGACTCGCTTTAATAATCTGCCCAGAATGACGGTGGCTTTCGAGGTTTCTTGAAGTTCTCACGTTTGTAAGCTTTAATGTGCTGCGGCAAGGTTTGATTGGTAAAATAATCCTGCCAGGCTCCTGTCTCGTAGACCAACTCTAAATGACATATCCGCCGTCTGGAGTCGAATTGAAAGCCGTCACAGACTGCGGAATAGGCGTTGGAGAGACAATAGGCCGCGCAGTCATCGGGAATATGCAGGTCTTTGGATGTGATTGTCGTGTTGACAGCCAACCGATGCATGACTTGCTGGAATTTCTGCAGATATGGTTGCTGGACTGCCTGCAACTGTTCGTTCATCCAAGCATCAAGGTACGTTGTCTCACGAAACCCTGAACTATGACAAGTGAGGCTAAACTTCTTCAAAAGACAAAAATGATAAGGCACAAACAAATTAACATGCAGATGACACAAAGTCTAATAGTTGACATTCTCCTAAGGGGAATGCAGCGTATTTTATCCATTAACAATGAATTATTAATATGCCTATACCATAGGCATATATCATTCAAAACGCGTCTGGTTTCCTATACGAAGTTGGGTGTATGAGTTTCGTAAATTGACTACTCTACTTTGATTGACATAGCTTGGCCTCGTTTTTGCATCTTGGTCGTGCTGTCATAGTGACCTCTGCCAAATTAATTAGGATAATTGCTAGTGTTGGACTGTGAATTTGGTGGATTTTTCGGCTTCTCGAGGGCATCTTCATTGAGCCTTGCCATTCTTACCATCAACCTACAACTTGTTGAAGACACGATGACAGCATCCCAATGCTAGTCATCGTGTCACTATTTGTAAGAGATCGACGAACTACCGAGGAAGTGAAATAATGTAGAAAGAGAAGTTAAGAGCCTAGAAAATTGAGCCAGAAGTTGGCTTTGATCGTTGAAGGAATCGGAGAGAAGGAGAAGTTCGAATCATCGAGTGAGAGGAGGCTTGATTAGGTTAGAATCTGGTTAAAGCTCTAGCACCCCAAATGGCCCATTAGTGACGAACACCCAGACTCCAGAGCATGGATCAATACCGCAGGATCACACAACCGACCAATTGGGGAGGTGAATGCATGTTCAAAACTTTAATAAACTGCAAGAATGTGAGGATAAAAGACAAATGCTTGAATACCTCGTGAAAATCGTAAAATGAGACTATCCAAAATAAGCGGAATTGCAATCGGACATCATTCTTGGTTTAGTTTTATGCTAATTTGTTAATAACACTCTTCTTACTCTGACAATGTCTGTATTATGAGAAGACGAAGGATAATCACCAAGGTACTCCACACTCAACTCACCGCCACAAGTGCTCTTGTGTCATGTGAATTTTAAGGAAGGCCAGGCATTTTCCCATATCACGTTCTGTGGTGGGATTTTCGATGTAGCAAACTTATATTTGCTATAATAATCAACGACATTATTAATTTTTCTTTTTGAATAGATTTTCTACGCCAGTTCATCATCACCTTACACGAAATAGGGTGGACGCATTTCATATACCCGATTTACTGGTAGTCTCGAAAACCTACTCAAAGCGAAAAAAGATTAATGTCGTCGATTTCTATAGCAAATACAACTTTGTTTCATCCCCAATCCCACCACAGAATGTGATATGTGAA